AGGGATACTCCATGGCAAGACTGAGTGTTTGAGTCGCTGTCCCTGACGCACACAGCATTCTCGAGAGTTCTGCAATATTTTTTTCTTGACCTAGACAAGGACCATTCATTAGTTTTTTTTTGTTTTGTTGCTTTTGAGAGTTCGTTGAACTCTTGGTGAATAAACTGAAGACACTGCTATCCAAGGTTTCAGGTTAGGTGTTTTTCCAGTGTTGTTATTCTGTTTCACTCTAATGTATGAAATGAGTTTTCAATAACCAGCGTACTTCTTTTAATTAGTCGTAAAAAGGGAAAGTTGTCTGATGGGGTCTGACAGAATTGCTCGTGTTTTCAAGTGCGTATGTGATGCCTGTTGAGCCAAAAAGAAGTAGGTGGTCACTACTTCACCAAGGAGAGTCTTCATCAGACCAGACGTCAGCGCTGATCTCTCCGAACTGTGGCTGCAAACCTCAGCTCATCGAGATCTTCACCCCGCCTGCGCAAAAGACTGTTATGACCACCATCATTATTGAAGTCTTTCGGCCTTTGTGAACTGGACGAAAATATTTCAACGCGTTCTAAGCAAAGATGTGCTGTCGAGACCGGTTGATTTTCTGTCAGCAAAACGTGAACAAGAGGTTCAGGACTAGTTCGCGCAAACGAAGCGCACGAACCAAGAAAGGCCATTGTGATCTCAATGTAAGACTTTTGAGGCAAACGAGGAAGCAGCTGGGCCATTTTCGAGGTCACCGAGGTTCTGGAAATATAGGAGCCAGCGTGGTATTTGCTGTTTGGGCTGAAAGCTAAAAGAAAACTGGTTGTGGTTGCAGCTTGCGAGGAGAAGTGGAGCCCTGAAAATTTGCTGCTAAGCCGCAGCTTCTAGCAAACGAGGGATTTAATGTGTGGAAAAGAAAAGAGCACTATCTGCTGCAGCCCTGTTGGGAGCCGGCCTCAGCGCCTCGGTGACGTGGGATTAGTCGACCACTCCTCCTCTCCCCTTTCCTCATCAGCATCATCATCATCACCATCATCAGCCTGACTACGTCCACTGCAGGAGAAAGGCCTCTCCCTTGATCCTTTCTCCATAGGATCGGCTGAATGGAGTTGCCTGCTTTGACAATAAGCTGGCAGACCACTACATTGTCCTACCCTAACGCAGTCAGGCAAGTTTGGCACGTGTACCAGGAGCCAGGTTTTCGAACCTCACCCAACTGCCAGAAGAGTTCTTGGAAATCAAGGTCATCTAAGATCATGGGAAGTGCGGGAAATCTTGTGACATTAGCGAAACGTTGGTGCAGTGCGTTTGTGACCATATTTGAACATCGTATAGACTGTGACATCTCCACGTGCATTGTGTGGTGTCTTTCCACGCCTTCGTGGTTGGGGCACCTAGACAATCGAGCGCCGTATTGGCTGAAGCCGCGGACAATACGCCCAGGGTTGGCAACGTGGCGCTATATAAGCGGAAGACTTTTGTATATTTTAGGTTTTACAGTTCAACAGTTCTCGTGTAGAGTTCTTGACTTCTCGTGATCACTTGATTACCTCCTTTAATATGCTCAGTTACTAATCATGTAAATAAATTGTGGTCATTCTTACGAGCGGCTCATCTGACTTGTTTGACGATGGTACCTAAGACGGGGACCCGCTACCAAATCGAGACCCGCGGGACCTGGAGTCGCAATACTAGACAACACTGTCTTGATTCCGTCCTCGAATGCTACAATAGACCATTTTCCAGCAATTCCAGAGCCCCCCCCGCGGGCGCGCATAGCACTATGGGAGAAGAGTGTACGTCTAAACCGGCCAAGCACGCTGGCTGTTTTCCGTCGCCCGCTGCTGGTTGGCGCTGTGAGAGTAGCATACGAAAAAAAACAATGAAAGGCATACCCCATTATTATTCCGTCCAAAATACTATACATGTCTGAACACACCTTCATGCATATCTACGCATAAAACACGAAAGGAATGATGCAGTCAGTGTCGATATAACCAAGCGGACGTATGCAGGATGTAGCAGTTAAATGGCATGCGAATAAATGTTGACGTGCCGATACATGCAGTCAAAACCTGCCATCGGGAGCAATTACACCTGGAACATTGAATTCATAATTATTCAATGAATACTTGTCACTAAAATGTACAAATAAATAATTGTCCGTAATTTGGTGTAGCCAAACTGCAGCGAGGTTTCGTAGTATTCAAGTACAGAGATTATTACTTTATTTCACAAGTAACGTGCTTTACAAAGAAGTGAGCACATAGTAAATGCATTTGTACAAAAAGGAAGGGGACTACAATTTATTTGTGGGACTCTTTGCTCTGATAATTTGCCGTTTCTTGGTACATGCTTTAAAGTTTCACTGTAGGTTCACCGAAAGCGGTGTTTTAATGTTGCATCGGTGCAATATTCAAATATTGTTACATGAGGAACTTTGATGTCATGCTATTCATGGCATCGGAAAAAAAACTTGCTCACATGAGATGATTAGTATTTTGCAGCTGCAAATCGATCACCTTAAAAAGGCCGACATCCTGAATATTGTTGGATCGGTTTGCGAAATTTGGTTCACATGGCAAAGAAATATAAATATCAGCGTACTTCACCCGTGAATAATGAATTGGGGGGTGGTGGATGGTTGAGATAGCTTGCCACCTCAAATGAGATTAGTCGTATTTGTTCCCGTGTGCAAAAAAGATCATCAGGGTCAGTAGTGAGGTATACTGCAGCGCAACAGTGGCAACGGTGCTGAGCTCTGACCAGAAGGTCGCGGGTTTGATTCCTGCCATGGCAGTCGTATTTCACTGGAGGCGATATGGTAGAGGCTCATGTACTATGCGAGTCGGTGCACGTTAAAGAACATCATATTGTCCAGAGCCCTCACCTATGATTCGAGACATTGAAATGCGAGATATTAGTATTACTAGTCTGCTGGAACCCAAGAAAAATTCGATCACAGTCATGTCAGTTGTTTTGTCAGTTGTTGTGTCACAGGTAAACACAAATATCTCTCTCTTTCTCTCTCTTTTTTCGACCACATCGGCTACGCTGGTCGATGTGTTAACACGCGCACCAGCAAGCATCGGAATTCATTTATTGTAGTCATCTTATCTCGCTCCGCTATATGTCAATTATGCAAATGTGATTCAGTCTTCGAAACCACAACATTTTGTGCCATCAACCTAATCAGACAAATTGAGAACTTGCGGAAGCATATCATGTCACATATAACACCACACTTTGTGCAAGTTAAGCTTCGCGGTTGTTACAAGACAAGTGATTTGACTGTATTAATCGACTGTAAACAGGTCGTTGTCTGGCTTTTTCTACCTCTTTATAACACGCACACTGCACCCCCATTTATGTAGATTTTTTTTTCACGCGTGTAACTTTCATTTGTAAGGTAGCACTAGATGGTGCGTGTATTCCCGGGCTTTTATGTCCTGCTTTTCTTTTTTTCACCCTATGCACTATTCAAACTAGTGTCAATGCAGGTTATTAGACACTTATCGTCATTACATATATGGTGTCAGCAACGAGCACACTGTTGTTTGAATGGGTCTTATTTTATTAAATGCCGACTATACATTCTACAGTACTCTTCAAAAATTAGAACCTCAAATTCTACTGGGAATCGCTAGGTGGCGTCGAGGAGCGTGGACGTGAAAACGCCGGCTTCCGCTTTTCTAAATGTTTTCGGTCGTTTCTTTGATCCAAGATCACTTGGCTTTGTGTTTATTCAAACAATAAGCACTGCGGTTTCAGTGGAGACGCCATTTTTGGCGGTGAGTGAACTCTTAGACATATTTTTGGACTTTATAGTTGCGACGCGGCGAGTGTGCCCGCAAACCCTAACCACACCTAGGGTTCGTGAGGAGTACGGCCGTTACACGTAGCCAAGGGCTCGGCCAGACGCGGCAGCTACTGGATCAACCTCCGTATGTCGCAGCTGACAACCAGGCACTGAAAATGCCTTCCACCATAACTGTGGAGGGAATGGAAGGAAGTGCGGAGATCTTCGACGCACCAGGATGGGCCACCGCCATGGGACGCCGAAGACAGATGACTCCGCCGAACGAGGAGCTGGCCGCTGGAACGGTCGAGCACAACAACCAACCGAAGCACCCCAGGGGCTTCAAAAAAAGTCAATCGGCACTACACCGTGTGGTATCCACTTCCAGGCTACCCCGCCTACCCAAGGACCAGATCAGGGTAATTATGAGACCCAGAGGAGGATTGGGCGTAGCCAGAGTCGACCGTGTTCTGCTGGCGAGAGCCGTCACCATGGCAGCCCAGACCACATACGAACAAGCACAAGAGGACACGATCTGCCCCAACAATATGCAAAACATCATGCTTAATTCTACGCCGCACCAAAATAATGCTACATTATACGTGAACGTGCAGAAACTGCAAACAAACCAAGGCTCATTCGAAGTAGCCGCATACGTGGCCACGCCTGATAATACATGCAAGAGCGTCATCAAGAACGTTGACCTCTCCCTTGACGACGCAACGCTCAAACGCCTGATTGTGCTCGACCGAAATCCCACTGCCATCGAGGCAAGATGCATTAAAAAAAAAACCAAGGCGTCGCAATCCTCTTTGACGGGTTGCGCGTTCCGAGCACAGTGATGTGTAGAACAGCCATGGTTCCCTGCTCGCTCTACAAGTGACAAGTCGATGTTTGTAGAACGTGTGGAGGAGTCGGCCATCGCAACAATATTTGCCGGTGCACAAACGCAACAAGCAAGAAATGTCACAACTGCGGTGAAACGCTACAAGAAGACGGCGTGCATCACTGCGAGCCAAAATGCAAGCTTTGCGATGGCAATCACCCCACCGGAGATCGCGAATGCAAAAGACACTTCCACATTCCATACATAGTGACAAGGAGAAGAAGACGCAGAAAGCAAGAGTGGCAAGCACAACAACGTTAAGACACACCAACATCTGTCACGTTCAAGGAACCCTGCCACAACCAGGTGCCGGGACGGGAGAACGCCTCGAGCGTCCCTCACCGTTCTTAATCCATGGGGAGATTCCGATCCAGAGGGCGTTCCCAATCCAGGAGGCACCTTTGATCCAGAAGCCGTTCTCGTTTCGGAGGGCGCCCCTCGATCCTGTCGGGATCCGACAACCACCTGTCATCTCGGGAGTGCTCCGGATCCCGATCGAGAACGAGACCAACAGCCACGCAGCAGCAGTAGAAGCCGAACAATGGCTCCTGGGCCAGCAGGGTTGCAGGTGCCTCACGAAGAACAAGTAGCCAGCCCAAAGTTAAGGCACAGCCAGAGCATGCTCCCGATCTTCGTATTCTAGCGCTTGAACAAGAAAACAGGGCCCTCAAGAAGGAGCTTGAAGAGCTCCGGGCCTCAATAGCTAGAACATAGAGCTGCCACGGAATTAACCTGTCGAGCTCACCGGCACTACCAACAACACGCTCGCAACAAACGATCCACAACACACACAAGCGCAAAGCCGTAGACAGGGACAGCAACACGATGGAGGAGATCGAGATGGTCTCGAGCAATAAATAAGCCCCACTGCCAAATGCCGAGTCTGCGACAACTAAGCTCAACGACAAAATCGATACGTTGGCGAACACGCTTGCCAAGTTTATGGAAACCTTTAAGACTTACACTGACAAAGCTGACCAGAGCTTCGCGAGCCTGGAGAAGATGGCAGCCAACCCACCTGTGGCAGGTGCTCCTCCGAACCTAAGCGTGGAAAAACCAGCGGTTACGACAAGCGTGCCGAGCATAACTTCTAGAGCTAAAGTCCGACCAGTCAAAGCACGCAATCTCGCGGAAATAACGAGCCGCGACGCACACAAGCTACCGAGCCAAAATGGCCGCTGACCGTAACGAGATTAAGATCTGGCAGTCGAACTGTAACTTCCGAAACTGAACTCACTTCAGAAACGCTAAGCACCACTAACACAACTATTGCTAGCCTGTAAAAAGAAGCCGCTATAATATTGCTACAGGAATGTGGAGAGAGCAAAACTGCTCTCTCCACATTCAGGGGTACAGGGTAGCCAGGCCCCGACCCTGCACCTCAAGTATAACAAGACGCGAGGAGTGGCTACTTTCATCGGGAAGGACATATAATGTTCACCGAAACGGACGCCCTTATACAAAAAAAAAGGCCTGGAAACGGTCCTGGTGAAAATGTTACCACACAGGGCTGTTAAAAGAAGCATCTTTCTGCTCAATGTTTACAGTCCTCCATCAGATAACAAAAGAGATTTCAACAGACTGCTTACCTCGGCGGTAAAAATGGTGGGTTACAATCCGCTTATAGTAATGGGCAATTTTAATGCCAGGAGCACCGAATAGAAATACTTAAAAAGCGAAGGCAAAGGCACCAAGTTAGCAGAAAGCGCAAATGCGCTGGACCTGCAGCTGATAAACAACCTTGCCCTCCCTTCAAGAAGAGGTAATTCAGTACAGCGGGACACAATGTCGGACTTAACCTTCACCAAGAACGTCAGAGCTACCTGGGATAACCTCGCTGAAGACCTAGGTAGCGAACACTGCATCCTGGAAATCACCGTTGAGAACGAGGCGAAAGCGCCAAGAAAATTCAAAATCAGAGACTGGGACCAGTTCTGTAAAATACGGGAGCAGGAGGGCAATACAGAACTATCATACGAAGCCCTCTTAAATGAATTAAAAATGACAGCGAATGAGGCCGCCAAAGAAGTCAAAACTGATGAATCCATCCAGGTCATGGACTCTCACCTGGCCACTTTGCTGCAGAAAAAGCATCACCTAAAAGAAGCATGGCGTAAAAACAAGCTCAACAGACACTTACGCACAAAAATCACGCACATTGGCCGCGAAATCGAATCTCACGCCAAAACTCTCTGCGCCCAGCAGTGGAACAACACATGTGACGAAGCAGATGGCAAAATGTGGAGGGGCAGCAAATGGGGGCTGCTCAAACACCTTATGGCGGACAGCGACAAACCCACCAGAGGCGGCACCCAGCTGCAAATTGAACAATTGGTGCACAAGCACGCCCAAGATAGTGGTAAATCCCAAGTTCTCCTCAAAACGCTAGGCCAAAAATATCTCCCACTGGAAAGCAAAGCAGTAGCCTGGGAAAACAAAAATTCCTCAAATGGAGGTCGACCGCAAAAAAAGCTAGACGAACCATTCAGCGAAGCTGAAATACGGTGCGCTCTACAGCAACTCAATTGCAGATCGGCGCCAGGGCCAGATGGCATCGACAATAGACTGCTACGGAATTTAGACGATAAAGCAATTGTAATCATTACTAAGAAGACAAATTAGGCATGGGAAACAGATACCGTGCCAAAATAATGACGTAGTTCTAAGGTTTCGCTCATCGCGAAACCTGGAAAACCGCTGAACATCGATAACTTGAGGCCCATATCACTCACATCTTGCATTGGAAAAGTAGCTGAGCATGCAATACTGAACCGTATCATGGATCACATTGAGAGCAATGGGCTCTTTGAACACAACATTATTGGATTCCGCAGGGCACTGTCCACACAGGACGCTATGTTGATGTTAAGAGAACACATATGTTACAGGATCTTCCACATGCCCAAAGCCATATTAGCCCTGGACCTCACCAAGGCTTTTGACACCGTAAAACATGAACACATACTGGGTGAAATATCATACATTAACCTAGGCGAGAAATTCTACAACTACATTGAAGGCTTTCTGGCGAATCGAACCGCCACCATACGCATAGGAGAGCAATGCGGCGAACCCGAACGACTCGGAAATATCGGCACCCCACAGAGGTCAGTGCTCTCGCCATCCATATGTAATGTGGCGATGAACAGGTTGTCGGAGAAGCTCGCTCAAATTCCATCAATGCACCATGCCATATACGCGGATGATATTACCATATGGGTCTCATGTGGCCCCTCATATGGTGCCTTGGAAGGAATCTGTGGTATAAAACGCTGCCCTGGAGAGTGTGCGTCATGCTTTGACGTAGAAAAATCGGTGTGCGGGGCCGATTTAGTAATTCAAGGTGCGCGGGAATCATGATGATGGTGATAGCGCTAAAACTATGAGCGCGCCCATGCGCGTGCTCGTGCGCGCACCACGTGGAAAAGCTCCCGAGCCACGGGGACAGCTCGGCTGACCCCAGAGAGCAGAACGCAAGGAAAGGTTCGGGCCACGCCCCGGCTGCTCGTTCTGACCCTCCGTGTCCGGGCCTCGTCTCGGCGTTGAAGTCCTCGGGTGCCTCCTGGACTGGGCATCGCCCCACCTCACCCCAGAGAGCAGAGAGCAAGGACAAGTTCGGGCCACGCCCCGGCTGCTCGTTCTGACCCTCCGTGTCCGGGCCTCGTCCCGGCGTTGAAGTCCTCGGGTGCGTCTTGGACTGGGCATCGCCCCACCTCGCCACCCACGTTGGTCTGAAGCGGCGTTCGTCACGGCCAGCTGCTGTTCTGGTCTCGGAGCGAGACGCTGTCCCAGGTCTGTTCGCGGCAGACGGGCGGTACGCTGTTCTCGGTTGTGTACAGGCAAGCCCAGGCGTTGACCACCGTACTGGGATGCCCCTGGCGGTTATCTTCTAGACCGGGCCCCGCCTCGGTACGAACTCCCGCAAGTACAAGGCATCGCGCCTTCTGACTACCAGAGAGCTCAAAGTCAAGCGCAACGTTCACGCCCCAAGAATGTGAGTGGACGAACAAGAACCTTAACTCCCTTTCGCGTAGGACCGTGAACGCGTGTATATAGGTGTGAGTTTATGTTGTGTGTATCCCTTTGTCCGTCTTCGTGTGTATAAAGTCTCTCGTTGTCCTCGAACGTCCTCTGTCCTCATCTGGCTAACCTGCGCCCACAGTTGCCCACAAATTTTGGCGAGCCTTGCCAGGATAGATTCCAGGACAGATTCCAGGATAGATTGCAGGATAGATTCCAGGATAGATCGGCCTTACCTTCTTGCCGAGAGCCAGACGGGCGGGACGAACCGATGGATTTAGAGAAATCGCACGCGATCTGAACGGACATGGGCCTTGCTAGGATCGGCACTCAACATCTTTCAGGCGAGAATTGGTCGCACACAGGATGCCTGTAAACGTGCAAAGACTGCTTTGTATTGGAGAGGAGGTCGGGTGGTCTTGCGCCGACTTGGAGCGAATGTTGCAAGAAGACCTTGATGAGGAACAAAAGAGAATTGATTTCGAACTGCGGTATATGTGCAAAAATGACAATGAGCGTGTGCGTTTGCGACAGGAAGGAGAGAAGCTGTTGTCTGAGATCAGCACAGCTATCTTGGAAATCCGAGAGATTGCAAATAGGGTAGCGCTTAAGGAGGTTAATGAAGAGGGCCAAGTCAATAATCTCAAGGATGAGATAGTTCTCCATGATGTTGACACAAGTCTGTCAGACACACTCGAAAAAGTGTATGTCGGAGAACATGATGATGTAGCTCTGTGTACACGATCTGCAAGTGAATGTGTTAAGCAGACATGTGATGGCATTGAAGGTGACGGAAGTATAGAGCAGCATGGTTTCTGCAGTCGTCAGATGAAACCTCTCGGCCAAAGAAAGGGCACGTCATGCGTATCTGAAACTCATGCTTCGGAGCCCAACGAAAAGCGAGTGGCAATGACAAACCCTAAAATAGAGCCGGAAGATGATCATAATTCGAGCAAAAGGGGCCGGAACTGCCAGAGTAGTAGTAGAGCTAGAGACATTGTGAGCCCACAACATGGTACTCCGTACCGTGCGGAGGGACACCAACTTCAAGACAACCGGAAGATGTGGCGTGCTTTGGACTGCGTAGCTTGGCGCTCGGACCCAAATGTTTGGATTGAATACTGCTCCATCTATATGAACATCGAGAAGCCACCTCGGTACACAGAAGCACATAGGAAGAAAGAACTCTGGTTCTGCGCTAGTACGTGGAAGAAAAGGAGGAAGATTACAAACCTGGTTGACCGATTCCGAACTGAACTGCGACACGACAATGGACTTCGAACTGCATGCGGAACTAATTCCCCGCGCTGACATAATGTTTGCCCGACTTACTCGGCGTCGATGCTTCCAAGCTTGACTCGACGAATTCATCGTGCTGCCCGGCGCCTGTGTTCGCCGCAACGGCATGAGTGAGTGGTCGTTGGCCTAGGCATCGGGTCACGAGCGTGCGGTGCCGTGCATTCCGTG